AGCAACAGTCTATGATAAAATAAAAGCTTCATTCTGAAAAGTGATATTATGCTAAGGTCAATCTGTTTCCTCTAACAATGGTTTATTTATTAATTTATTTAGTTTTTGACATCTACAGAAGTCATGCAATCACTGATATATAACTCTAATAAAACATATTATGCATACAGACACAAATATGTGTCTAGGGCATACAAAACCTTTGCTAGACCAATACTCGAATACAGCTCATCTGTCTGGAATCCGCACTGTATATCAGACATTAATACAATTGAGCGAGTCCAGAAGTATTTCACTTCATACCTATTATTTCATAAGCGATTGACAAATCAAATAAATAAATAAATAAATAAAGCATCGGCAAAAATGTATGTATGTGTTAAGCCTGTATTCCCCAACGGGTGTTAAGGAAAAACAAACTAAACAGAACGTGCAGCGAAGTCAGATAGGAAGACAGGTAAATGTGCGAGATAAGTTTTCTAGTTAACACGCAGTAAAAATACAGATACGCTTGTGCTATCAAAAATATAGTTTATTCCATTTAAGAAATAGTCAAAATAAACAGTCCATTAGTCATATATCATTTCAGTCAAGTCTTGTCGGGGATACTCTATTTGCAAAGTCCATGTTGAATAGCCCATGTCAGTTCACTTACAATAAATCAGTCCAATCTTTATCTTCTCTCTGTTGAGAAAAATCAACACTCCTACAAGAACGCAGTCATCAATCCATCCAGTAATTAGGGATCAGTAAGTCAGAGAGAGAGCTGCATTTGCCTCGCTACTTATATAGTGCTTTCACAACCACACCCTTAATTACATTCTTGCAGTTAAAGTTACACACACTTTAACTAACAAACCATGATACCATATTTATTATTTTTACCCAAACCAGTTAGGGTAAACAATGTTATCCCTAACAGTATGTACTGTATGTATGTATGTATGTATGTATGTATGTATGTATGTATGTATGTATGTAACAGAATATGCATGTATATATGTAAGAGAATAAAGGTGTTGGAAGGAACCTTGGAGGTCTTCTAGTCTAACCCCCTGCTCAGGCAGGAAATCCTATACCACTTCAGACAAATGGTTATTCAATCTCTTCTTAAACAATTCCAGTGCTGGAGCATCCAGAACTTCTAGAGACAAGTTGTCCCACTGATTCGTTGTTCTCACTGTCAGGAAATTTCTCCTCAGTTCTAGTTTGCTTCTCTCCTTGATCAGTTTCCATCCCTTGCTTCTTTTCCTGCCCCCAGGTACTTTGGAGAATGACATCACTGCTCCTGGAATAGAAGAGAGGGGAGGAACGCCTTTGCGAAATATTGGCGGGAAAGCCGTTAAAAGGGGATGAGTCTGTCAGAGCACGACGGAGGGAAGAAGGGTGAATATTGGTGTGAAAGCCGTTTAAAGAAGGGTTTCTGTCGGCACGACAGAGGGAGAATGAATATTGGCGGGAAAGCCATTAAACGAAGTGGGGTTTCTGTCGGCACGATGGAGGGAGAGAGAATATTGGCGGGAAACAGGGTTGCCAGATCGCAGTTTGGCTCTGCGGCCAAACTCAAGTCAAAATACGGCCAAATTCGGCCAAATTATTTTTTGCGCATGTGCGAGGGAAGGAGAGCGCTAGAGGACGCGCTTGTCCTCCTTTTGCTCATGGTGACGCGCATGCGCGAGGGAAGGAGAGCACCAGAGGACGCGCTTGTCCTCCTTTTACTCATGGTGACGCGCATGCGTGAGGGAAAGAGAGCGGCTGGGTTGCCATCTGGCCGATTTCACGGCCAAGCAACTTTCGTACGGCCAAATTTCTGGCCAAATAAATTTGGCCGGAGACATCATTTTTTCACGGCCAAGCAGATAGAAATACGGCCAGATTTCTCGAATTTGGCCGGAAAAATGGCCAGATGGCAACCCTGGCGGGAAAGCCATTAAAAGATAGCGGGGGTGGGGGGGTGGGGAGAGTCTGTCAGAGCACGACGGAGGGAAGAAGGGTGAATATTGGCGGGAAAGCCGTTAAAAGAAGTGGGGTTTCTGTCGGCACGACGGAGGGAGAGAGAATATTGGCGGGAAAGCCATTAAAAGATAGCGAGGGTGGGGAGAGTCTGTCAGAGCACGGGAGGGAAGAAGGATGGAGAGTTTGAGAGGAGACCCAGAGCTACAAGGTGGGGAAAAGGGGACTGAAGAGTTCCTATGCTTAAAGCAAACTTACTTTGGTCTCTCCTAACAAAAACAAAAACGAGACTCTGGGAAATCTGAATGACTTATTTCCTCACAGAGAGTCTAATACCATAAAGTGGAATGAGGTTTCCTGCTTCAGTAGGAGGTTGGACGAGAAGACCTCCAAGGTCCCTTCCGTTATTCTGCAATATAACATTCAACACCTAGAAAAGCAGATAATTACCTATTTGGCATCTTCCAATATCTTGAAAAATTATATAAAAAAATAACCAAGTACTAAATAAAAATGTTCTTTCTGAATAATCACTTCAGCCTTCTCCATCCTTGGGGGAGGCAGCTTCATTACCATTAACATCTCCACCTGTTAACTTTATTTTAGCTTTTTATAGTTTTTAGTACCTTAATCTTTATTGATAATGATTTTAGATAGTTATTGTTTTATTTTGTCACATGCTGCCCAGGGTAGCTTGCTTGTGAGAAAGGCAACTACAGTATATAAATTAGTTTAAAAATCTGCCAAACAATACAGTTGACTTGGATAGTAAAAAATACTGGAATTATATGAATACTTTTTAAAATTATAAACAGACTGAAGTAACTCAAGCTTTCCTATCATCATATTTTCTAAATATGTCTTACTATATTTTTATTTTGTTTAATGCATGCCCCAACCTGCAGAATATAAAGTTGTCCTGCTGATTTCAGTGTTCATCCACATTTTTTTTTTCTCCTGTCAAAGTGTCCCTACTATCAACAATTTAAATCCAAAAATGGGAGACAGGAACACATTTGGTTCCCCAAGGAAATTATTTTTGCCCCAACTTTGCCCTCTCTCTCTGCATGTGGTTTTGAAGGAATGGTGGCTCAGATACTTTTGAAAAAGTGCAAAGAAGAGCAACTTAAGATGATTAAAAGCCTGAAGACTAAAACATATAAAGAACAGTTGCAGGAATTGGGTATGGCCAATCTAGAGAAAAAAAGGCCCATGGGCGATATGATAGCAGTATTCCAGTATTTGAGAGGCTGCCACAAAGAGGAGGGAGCCAAAGAAGAGGGTACCAAAGAGAAAGACAAGGAACAATAGATGGAAACTAATCAAGCAGAGAAGAAACCTGGAATTAAAGAGAAACTTCCTAACAGTGAGGATCATTAACCAGTGGAACCGCTTGTCTTCAGAAGTTGTGGATGCTCCATCACTGGAGTTCTTTAAGGAGAGATTGGACAGTCATTTGTCTGAAGTGGTATAGGATCTCCTGCTTGAGCAGGAGGCTGGACTAGAAGACCTGCAAGGTCCCTTCCAGTTCTATTCTGATTGATACCCAGGTTCCCTTGTAGGTGGCAAACCATAATTGAGATTAAATTGTAATCAGCATATAATGCAATTGCATACATTGGCTGCCTTTCTTATTAAATCTGGGTAACATCATCACTGCTTCACCTAGCACTGATGATGTTACCTAGCTTGGTTATTGAAATGATTGCAAGAAAACAAGCAAGCTCAGAGAGCACCAAGGACCGGGGTGGGATTCTACCGGTTCACGTGAACTGGGTGTTAAATTTGCATCTGGTTCACCGAACCGGTATTTGAACCGACCAGCTGGCCCCGGCCACCCCTCCCAGGAGTCTCCAAGTAGCCCATTTTTGATGCAGGTTAGTGCAGGGTCCGCACAGACGCTCTGGGAGGGGGAAAAATGGGTCTTCCAGAAGTCTGGAAATATGCCTGTTTACAGCTTCTGGAGGGCCTCCAGAGCCCGGGGGAGGCCATTTCCACCCTCCCAGAGGACCAAGGGAAGCCTCTGGACCCCTGGGAAGGTGAAAAACAGCCCTCCCAGAAGTTTTGGTAGGCCATGCCCACCCAGCAATTGGGCAGCGAACCAGTTGCTGGGATTTTTGAATCCCACCCCTGCTAAGGACCCCTCACTTACTACATTTATATGCTGCCTGGCTCCCAGTGGCTCTGCATGGTTTCCAATTGTTCAAACATTTAAAAACAAAACAGAATAAGGGACCTTGGAGGTCTTCTAGTCCAACCTCGGGCTCAGGCAATAGTTGCCCAATCTCTTCTTAAAAACTTCCAGTGTTGGAGCAGCCACAACTTCTGGAGGCAAGTTGTTCCACTGATTCATTGTTCTCACTGTCGGGAAATTTCTCCTTACTTTTGCTTTTCTACTTGATTAGTTTCCAACCATTGCTTCTTGTCCTGTCCTCAGATGCTTTGGAGGATAGCTTGCCTCCCTCTTCTTTTGGCAACCCCAAAATATCACAAGACTCCTACCATGTCACTCCTCGTCCTTTTCATTACACTAGAGACACAATTCCAGCAACTCTTCTTTATATGTTTTAGCCTCCAGTCTCGCAATCATCTGTTGAACGATTAAACGAAAACCAGCACAAGGCAAAAGAATAGCAATGACAAAAAAAAAAAAATAGAGGGAAAAGAAAGAAAGAAACGGGCAACATTCATCCTCTTCAGAGATCTGGATGAAGAGCCAGGTCTTTAAGGTCCTTGGAAACACCAACAAGATGGGAGCCGTTTGAATCTTGGATGGCTGTGTGAGAAATCTAAATTCCAAAGCTTTGTGACAGAGATTCGAACCGGGATCCTTTCAGCTGTCCCGAAAGGGAAGAAAAATCCAAGTGTCCTTTGTCGGACTTCCTTTCAAGGAGATATGCACTGATATGATGCGCCATCTACCTGGTAAATATGGGTTTCAGCCCCGCTTTCTCGGATACAAGTAGACGATTGAAAGGGGGAAAAAATGTTCTCCCGTCCAGGAGAAACACGCCCATTCCTTCTTCCTCGCCCAATCTGCGTCGAATTCCCCCGGCTCCCCAGTCGGGAAGTTCGGAGCCAAGAAAGCTGCTTCGTGCAGAGGAGCGCAATGGGGCAGCTTCAGTGGCGCCTCTGTCTGATGGGAGCAGCTACTTTCCTGCTGGGAAACGCTTTTGGTGAGTAGCTGATAAACCACGAAGCCACGGAGTCCCGTCTAAAGGGTCCCGCGCAACGCGTGCCAGCCAGGGATCCTCTCTGCCCCTTACAACGCTTGAGCTGATTTTGGAAGCGTTCTTTGGTAGGGCCCTCTTTTTCTTCTGGAATCCCGATCGTGCAAAAGCTGCTCCTTGAGAAGCAAACGGAAAACTATCCTTTCCTGTAAACATAACAGCCCCGTGAGGGTTCTTATTGTGTAATCAGAATAGAGCTGGAAGGGACCTGGGAGGTGTTCTAGTCCAGCCCCCTGCTCAAGCAGGAGACCCTATACCATTTCAGACAAGTGACTGTCCTGTCTTGTCTTAAAAACCTCCAGTGATGAAGCACCCACAATGTGTTAAGGCCAGCTGTTCCACTGGCTAATTGTCCTCACTGTTAGGAAATGTCTCCTCAATTCCAGGTTGCTTCTCTCCTTGGTTAGTTTCCCTTTATTGTTTCTTTTCCTGCCTTTTGGTGCTTTGGGAAATAAACTGACCCCCTCCTCTTTGTGGCACCCTCTCAAATACTGGAATACTGCTCTTATGTCCCCCTTGTCTTTCTTTTCTCTAGACTAGCCAAACCCTAAATCCTAACTAGGCATACAAATTAAAGAGGAAAAAATGGTAAATGTTCCATAATTTCCTAAATTGCTCAATTCCTCCAGCAAGTGTAATCCTGTCTCACTCTCTGTGTAAACAGGGAATTGTACTCTCTTGGAAACTCTTTTCCTCTTTCCCCTTCTCCTTCCAAAGCAATTAGACGGGAGTGGGTAACTTTTCAGTGTCATGGATGCACTTAATAGAAACAAGATGGGTGGTAAAGTTTACACAGTGAGTGAGATAGGATTGACACATGCTGGAGTAAATTGAGGTATTTAGGAAATTAGGGAACATTTATATACCCTGTGTATTAACAGATAACAGATAATCGGAGTTGGAAGGATATTTCTGGCTTTAAGTCTATATGTTGCTTTATCATTTTCTCTAGCCATACATGTATTTTCGTCCAGAATTTGTTTGCTTTTGGACATGTCCACCACATATGATAGTAGGAGACCGGTATCTGGTTACATTTCCAACATTTAGTGGACATGTTTTTAAACATCTCTGCTAATCTTGCCAGTGGCAAATGCCACCTATAGAACATTTTGTACAGATTTTCCTTGTATGTAGTTGCCATTGTCAATTTATAGTTTCTATCGCAAAGTTTTTGCCATTTATCGAACTCTATAGTACCTGTATGTCCAAAGTTTTTTGCCCAAACTATCATTGCTTCTTTCATTTTGATGCTTAGTAGATAGCCACGTATTGTCTTTATTAATCTTTCATCTGTCCCTAGAAGTATACAATCTAGCATTGTTGGTTCTTTATAAAAACCATATGTTTTTATATCTTTCTCATATCTTGATTGTATTTGCAGGTGTGGCCACCATGCTACGTCCATCCCTTGTTTCTGCAGTTCTTGTTTAGATCCAAGTTCCCCTTACTTCATTTAAAATGTCTTTATATGTTACAAATTTTTCCCAAGTTGGTAACATTTGGGTGTATAAGTGCTTCCACCGTAGAAAGCCAGACTAATATTTTCATATAATTTTTTGCTTTGACTTTTTCCCATACTAAAACTAGAGCATTTCTTACAACAGTATCTTTGAAAATATCTGTGTATTTTATTCTTTTCATAGCACAAAAAAAGCATGCCATCCCAATTGAAAATCATGTCCTTCCAACAATAATAACCTTCTTTGCCTCAAGTTTATCAACTCTTTTACCCATTGTAAGTGCAGAAGCTTGGTAATAAAACCCCCAATCCAGCAACCCCCAAACCCCCATTTTCTTGTAGCATTTTCAGGTTTATTCTTGCTCTTTTCCCTTGCCGTATATATTTCAGAATCATTTTATTTAGCTCCTCAAAATATTTTCGAAGCTGTCAGTCTTTTAATGAGATGTTGCTCTGAGGGCTATAAAAAGCTTTGGGGACAGAGAGTTACACTTTTCTGCAATTGTAGAACTTCCAGAGAGTTTATTTGTTTTAAAACATTTCTATATCTGTCCATCTTTCAATCAACTATTCCTTATTTAATTCCATTTCTGATGCTCCTCCATTGATCATCTTCATCCCTTTCCCTCACTTTCTGCTGTTCTGGAACGACAGAGTGCCTTCTTGCAAATCACCACCTCTCATCCTGCCGATGTTAGCATTCTTGAATATTAATAAGTTAATAGTGAGCGCCAAATTTGTTCTAGTGGTTAAAGTTACAGGCTAGAAACAATGAGACCCCGAGTTCCATTCCGCCTTTGGCATGAAAACTGATTGTGTGACTTTAATTTGCCACTCTTTCTCAGCCCAAAACAATTCACAAGGTGGTTGTTCTGGAGGAAAGTGGGAGGAGGAAGTAGTAAGTAGTCATGTTTGCCGCCTGGAGTTATTTATAAAAAAATAAAGTGGGAATTTAAATGAATAAAATTATTTCACAGGCTGCTTTTTTTTGGGCTGGATCTGGAGGCAACGACGAGCATTTCTCTGGAAAAGTATAACTTAGCACACATAATTTTCCATTTCTCTTCAGTGAGTCATTTTTACTGGGAAAGTTGGAACAAAGGTCAAGCAATTCCTGCTCCATACAAGAACTCTGAACTCTAGCTTGTTCAGATATGCGTGTGGGCTTGTTTGTTTTTTGTCAAGAAGTAGGAGACTGAAGATATTTGGCATTGTGCTTTTTTCTTTTTCAGATAGTCCGCAACTTATGACCATAATTGAGCCCAACATTTTTGTGAAACATTTGTTAAGTGAATATTGCTCCATTATATGACTGTTTGTGCTACGTTTTTTTTTTTAAATTTGGTTTGTCAATTGCTTACAAGATAATAGGTATAAGTAAAAACATAGTTATGAATACATGAGATACATATAAGAAAAATGAAAGAATCAATAGGACAGGGACGGTAGGCATGTTGGTGCGCTTATGCATGCCCCCTACAGGCCTCTTAGGAAAGGGGTGAGGTCAATAGTAGAAAGTCTAAGGTTAAAGTTTTTGGGGTTTGGGGAAGAAACCACAAAGTCAGGTAGAGTATTCCAGACAATGATCACTCTGTTGCTGAAGTCGTATTTCCTTCAGTCAAGTTTGGTGCAATTAACCTTGAGTTTGTATCTATTGTTTGCTCTTGTATTGTTATGGTTGAAGCTGAAGTATTCATTGACAGGTAGGACATTGCAGTGTATGATTTTATATACTATACTTAGATTGGATCGAAGGTGGCGTAGTTCTCCTAAATGCTGCTGCGACAGCCCAGGATGGGTTAGACTCCTGATGACATCATCAAGCTGGGTCCGCCTACCGTGTTTCTCATATAATAAGGCCGGGTCTTATTTTTTTTTTGAGCCCCGAAAAAATGGCTAGGCCGTCTTTTTGGGGGTGACTTAATTTCCCCCCCTTGCATCTTCGGGCGGGCGGGCAGCGATGGTTTGGATGTTGACCTCGGCATTGGTGGGGCACTTCATATCGGGGTCAAAGCAGGCAGCACCATATCCGGGTGTGCAACAAAAGTACTCCTAGCGGCAAGCCCCCCCACCATTCCCCCCCATTTCGCATGTTTTAATATAGGCCTTAATTTGGGGGGAGGGGCTTAATTTCATTTCATGCCTATAAAACATGCTGGGACTTCCTATTGGGGGAGGCCGTATTGTTGGAGAAACAGGGTAGTATAAAAAGGACTGCCTGTGGGAGTTTACCCCCAGCTTTGACTCAGTTTCTTTCGATGACCATAAGCTGGTGTCTCTGAAAGCAGTTTAGTTAGCAAAAGCTATCTTCATCATTGGCATCCATTCTCCTGCAATGAGGATTCAACGTTTTCTTCAACCGAGGGAGATTGTTAATAGGGAGTAACCTTTGATCCTCTCCAACAGTCTTCCCTCAGCAATTTCGGCCTCCACGATGGTAAAGATCACATCAGGTGATAACAGCACCTCTCAGCTAATCGTAAATTTTCACTTTATTGCCGATTTCACCGTTCAGGGCTGTTTACAGCTTAAGGAGCGATTTAACCACTGTATAGCCTGTAGCTCTTGCGAGTGGCCAGTTTGGAGGCTTCTTCTTCAACCGCACATGGGGAGTGGCAATTTTGAAAGCTTCTTCTAAAGAAAGTAGTGAGCGGCCATTTTAGGTGGCATCATCCCCCAAAGGCCAGCTTCTACTATTCATAAGCTCCTATTCAGGCTACTGCATAGACAACACATACTGAGGATCACTTCCAGCACCTTTGTGTCTGTTTATGCACATTATGGATCAAGACAAGGCCCACACAGAGCCTTCAGGCCTGATCTCTCAAGGCCCCCAAGCTGGCACAAGAAAGAGAAGGAGACAATGCTCCCAGTCTGTACAAAGGGAGGTGGAGGCCAAGATTAGGGCCAAAGCTTTGGGCCCTAAGAAAACATCCCAGGCCAAATTAAAGGCAGAGAAATGAAGGCGTGCAGCCTTAGAAAGGCAGTTCAACAAAACTATTGAGCAAATGAGGGGTCAACTACAATAGGCTTTCCAACCAGCCAATCCTCTAGTTGTTAAACAGATCAGGCCCCAATTTTTAAACAGGCCTCTTGGGACCTCCCTTCAGCTTGGCCCTCCATGGCCCAAGGTGTTCTAGACCTAAACTCAAGGCTTCCTTCACCCCCACTGCAGGCCTTCACCCCTCAGATCCATCATTTGGTGGCAGACCCAACTTCATTAATCTAGTGCCATGGGTTAGTTTCCATTCCAGGTCACTCCAATGGTTTCTTCTACCTTATCAGAAGATAGGTAGGAGTTGTTCCTCTTTCAGGTCAGATTAACTCCGTTGGTCCTTAAATCTTTTTGATGGGGGTCATCTGAGGCGTTTTCCATGGGACTCTTGTTCAAGGAACCGGACAGGTTAGTGCTGACCACGGATGCCAGTCTGTATGGCTGGGGAGCCCACCTTCAATCCAGAGTGGTCCTGGGACCATGGTCCCA